GCAATGTCCATGAGTAGACAGATCGGTCTTACCTTAGGCAGCTCTCCTTCAAGGGTGACTTCTTTCGGAATCAAAACAAGCCTGGCTCGCTTCCATAATCGCGGGAAGGTGCCAGATCTTAGGCATACAGTGAAACACTCCGCAACTTTTTCCATCATTTCAATGGGAGCAACTTTCAACACTCTTGAAGGAATGCCGTCCAAACCTGGCGCCGAATTGCGAGCACTATCTTTGATAACTCGATATATTTCCGCAGAATCGACAGTACACTGCTCATCCCAGAAGGGGACCGTCCAAATTGTATGCGGATCCGTCTCTGTACCATTTGGAAAGAGTCTGTCTATCAACGTCTGCATCAATAATGGGTCCATTATCTCTGTTAACGCAGGGGCTGCTGTCCGCAGGCGACCCCAACACCAATTTATACGGAAGGCCCCAAGGGTCTTCGTCTATAAGACTAAGTAGCTCTTTCCACGCACGAGTTTTTGCAGCAACTATTGCTACTCGTAACCTCTTTTTGGCAAGTCGATAGGACTGTTGACGACGATTCACCTCATCTGCGCTCATAACACCTCGCGTATGTCTAATAACGGCTCTACACCACCTACGCCTACTCGAGATAGCTTCAGATCTTAAATTTCTGATTTCGTCACACCACCAGTATGCCGACTTTTTGCCTAAAGGTCTAGCTAACCTAGGCGTGCTACAATCTGCAGCCTCGCGCATCACGGTGGCTATCCAGTTTCGCAAACTCATCCGCTGTACTATTTTCTAGTGATAGGTGGCATATAGCAGAACTCCAGATCAGAGCAGCCTGAAACCTGTCTACGTCCATTTTCCTCCAATTCCAATCTAGTGATGAACGACCAGGAGGAACTGAAGGCACGCCAGGTTCCAGCTCAAATGCGATATAATTATGATCCGAGAGAGTCTCAGTGTTCTGCATTACTCGCCAGTTCATCACCTTACATACAAGTCTCGGAGTACACCATGTCAGATCTACAACTGACGAACCTTGCGGACGCACACATGTAGGCACGTTTACCAATGTTCAAGATCCTCAGATCCAGACCTGCTGCCCAAATTTCGACGTGATCACCTCTTACATTTGCAGCTCGAGCGCCCCATAGTATTGAAGCAGCATTAAAATCTCCACCTATTATTGTTTCAGAGGTCGCAGAACGAAGAAATTCCGCCATTTCATCAAGCCTTTGGATCATGCGTTGAGGAGAATCGCTCGGAGGTAGGTAACAGCTTATCATATTTGTAGATTTAAATTCAACGATAACAAAGCCATCACACTTCCTTCTTACCTTTACAGGACCAAGGTTAGCGCGGCCATCCCACCAGATGGCAGCCATGCCCTTCCTACACAAGGACAATGAAGGGCCATCCTGAAGACTATACGGCGGCTCCGAGATCAAGCACACATCAATGCTCCATTCTTTTACATGCTGTATAAGTAAGTCGTACGCAGCACGACTTCGATTTAGGTTGCACTGCACAACGCGCATTTAACTGCCTGAAGGAGTCATTTCTACCTGTCTCCGATTCAGGTCATCATTGCCAGGCAGAGACCCACAACCCATCGCACCAATACGATGCTGCGCATCTCTACCAGCCGCCGAACACAATGCACACTTAAGTTGCGCAGAACAATCCTTTGCCACGTGCCCCGTCTGGCCACAGCGAAAACACAATCCGCGTCGATCTATATTACATCTACCAATTCGCCTGTACGTGTCCAAACTCCCAACATCTCCAACACTGCATCGGCTTCGCGTCGAGGAACTCTATTCTGGCATTGACCCAACCTATTTTAATCCTCCTCCGATTAGCCACTCTAGTAGCAGCAGCCAGAGGAAGCTTGGCCCAAGTCATGTAGAGACCATTATACATAGGTCTCATAGGCTAATCGTTACCTCGTTCTCTTTACAGCCACCAGCACTTGCTACCGCAGCAGCCATCTCATCAAACGTCGCGGACTCATCGACTCCAACTATCCTTAGTTCACCTTGCCGAACCGGACGGGTCACAGATGCCGTTTCACCTAGAACTTTGGTAAGTTCACTCTTTAATTTTTCAGCTAGTTCGTCACCATTAGGACCCAAAACCTCGATGAGAAGCGCACCGCCCAATGACCTCCTAATCCTCGTGTTTTTGATTCCCATATCTTGAAGCGAGATGTTATCTTTCGCCTTACGCATAGCGTCGGCATATGAGAATCCTTCCGTAATGCCCTTAATAGCCACTGCCGCACTTCGGGGGGCTTTCCAGCGTATACTCCTCTTGTCAGTCTCTCCTTGCTTATTTGTGATATCATTCCTATCTACACTATTTACATTATTATTCCTACTGTTTACAGCAGATCGAGTTTTCCTTGGATCTCTTGCAGAGGCCCGTATCCACTAGCTCCAGGAGCATCAGCCTCAACTGGAGAATCAACATATGGCCGCGGAGGGGGGGGATTCCTCCTCCCCCGCCCCCCCGTCACCTCCTCACTCTTCCTTTGGCAGCGCTCCAGTCGCTGTTTGTATCCCCGCCAGACATACCGATGCTCTCAAGGGCACCGGGAGTCTGCGGGGGCCGGGGGTAGGAGCATTTTCACGAGGTGGGACCAATTGTATATCGCTCTTCACCCTGACCCTCGGGTTATTCCGAGGGAGGGGAGAACTCACCTGGTCTCCCAACTTCACCGTTTGAGACAGCAACCTTCTGTCTCCAACAGGTTGCATTTGCCTAATTACCTCCTTCGTTATTCTTCTTACTAATTCCTCTTTTTCTTTTTCAGAATCAACATGGGACATCAACGGACCATCCCTCTCGGATCTTCCAGGACGAACGTCACACGACGGCGGACCCATTGGCGGAAACTCTTCTTCTTTCGGGTAAGTATTCTTTAGTACTATTTTACTTTTTCCTAATCCTTCTTTTCTTTTTCCAGGTTTACTATCTTCTTCGAACTCCAGCGGACGACTCCTCTTCAATCGATCCTGGGCATCCTCCGACGGTGTACCGGCCATCAGGGATTCCGCCATCCTGCAGGTAAGTATCTCCACTTCTTATATTAGTACTATCTGATGGGGACCCCATGATTGGCAGCATCGGGGTCACTCTGTCTATTTTGGTCTTTAAAAGCTGAATACGACTTGCCTCCGTTCGCTCCTTGTCCTCCATGGCTCTCAAGGCTTTGGCCTGCAGGTCTGCGACAAGCTCTGTCAGCGCGCTTACCTCGTTTTTTAGTTTGTTTATTTCCTTTTCGTATAGATCTATCCTCGACGTTTTCTCGATGTTCTGTTTTTTCAAATAGCGATATCTCCGTTATCTTGAATTCTTTCGGAGAGTAGCTGCACCAACATAGTGAGCGCAGACGTCCTCTCCGACATACGCTTCATTAACGGACCTTGCATGGTCTTACACTTCTTTCTAATGAAATCGAGCTCGTCAATCCACCTTTGAGCCATAGCGCCTAGGTTCGGAGTCGATCTGTTTCTTAATTCGTCCATATCCTGAGGAACTTCCTCCAATTCCATAATTATCCTTTTAGCTACTTTCTCTTTATTTAGGAAGGGCTTTCTACCTCTCATTCTTCCCCCCTTTTCAATGGAGAGAGGGGGGCAGTATCCTCTTCCTCTGGCCTTGCCAGCGACGAGACTATCGCCACCGGCTGCTCATCGACCCGCTGCTCTTCCTCCTCGGGCTGTTCTCCGTCCGTTGACCATTCGTCATCGTTCGCCGAATCTCTTCTGGAAGGGGAGGCTGGCCTGGGCTTTTTTCTGGACGGACGGGCATACTTCGATTTTTAATTTAGCTCCACGGGGTCTGGACACTCGTTGTCCCGCCGATTCTCCAGTCGTTTCCAGCTCAGAGCTCAGATATTCCTTTCTTCCTTTTTGGCCCGGAACTTTTAGGCCTGGAGCTGCTTTGGTTGCTTTTTGAGCCAATTTCCGGGCTCGCGTCACTCAGTGAGATTGCGATAGCCTTCTTAATTGACCGCTGTATCTTTACCGCTTCTCTCATACACGGGCTTTCCGTTCCTTCAGTTAAAGCTGCTTGCCATTCAGGAGCAGCAAATCTTCCGCGTCTTGTGCGGCCTGCCTAGGAGTGACTGGGTCTTCCGGCAGGACACGTATGTGTCCCCTCATCTTCTCTCTCACTCTCCGTTATTTCTCTCTGGGATGCATCCTTGGCGGCCACTTCTCTCTTCGCAGTAGTCATGTTTTTCCTGGCGTTGCCTTGCGGTTTGCCCAACAAACTCAGGGGCAAAGGCCATGGGTCTTGATTGACGACGTTGGGCGGGGTGGGAAACTTTTGGGGGGGGAAAACGATATTCCCCCCCCCACCCCCCCCCCGGCCCCCGGGGGGCCCGGGATTTTTTTTTTTTTTTTTTTTTTTTTCCCCCCCCCCAAATCTCTTTTTTCTCTTNGTACCAGGTTTTATATTTTTGTGATGTACCGTTTCTGAAATATTAGATTTCACCCACAAGGGGTGGTTTTTAAAAATAAAAACTAACCTGACTTCAGATTCATGAACAGTGATCTCGATTACCTTCAAAAAAGTCTTATTAACCTGAATTCATCTTCTAAAAGGAAATGTCTAAGATTTTTCGGGAATTCATGCAATTTTCGGCAGTTCCAGGCCCTATAGTAGATCCGCCATTTTTTAATTTTTACAAAATGCCACACATCTTTTGAAAGCTCTTGAGTAGACGAATTTTTTAAGCTGTCACACGTTCTTGGAAACAGCGCTAAAATTTGGGCAGACAGGTATTATTTCCAGTTGACGTGGAATGACCGATATATATATTGCTCAAAAACACACACTATCAAATTTAATAAAATTTATTAAATCAAGAAAAATCAAAGTATTATATTAGGTGCGCAACTAAGTTCCCGCTGTTTGTCAATAAATGGCTCCAGCAGTAAGTGCTGGTCGATTTTGACATATCCAAAACGTCATAAACCAGCTTAGACATATGGTAAACAAACCGTTTTGACACATTAGTGATTTTGTTTTGGCGTCATATACTTTTGGTTGTGTGAAAATGTCTGATTTTGTGCCAAATAATCGTCATTTGCGGGAAGTGTTGATTTTCTTCTTTCATTCGAAGAAAATGGCGGCTGAAGCGCATCGAGAGCTCCAAAAAGTTTATGAAAATGCTGCTCTAAGTGAAACAACGTGATTGATTCCGTCGCTTCAAAGACGGTGATTTCGATGTTGACGACCGTCCGCGTGAAGGAAGGCCAAAAACCTTCGAAGACGCTGAATTGGAGGCATTGCTCGATGAGGATCCGTGCCAAACGCAAGAAGAGCTTGCTTCAACATTAGGAGTTACCCGCCAAGTCATTTCCAAGCGATTGCATGCGAAAAAGTGATTCTACAGCATGACAATGCTCGGCCTCACGTTGCCAAACCCGTTAAAACCTACCTGGAAACGCTCAAATGGGAAATCCTACCCCACTCGCCATATTCCCCAGATATTGCGCCGTCCGATTATTACTTGTTCCGTTCGATGGCACATGGTCTGGCTGATCAGCAGTTCCGCTCATATGAAGACATCAAAAAATGGCTTGATTCGTGGATAGCCTCAAAAGATGAACACTTTTACCGTAACGGTATTCGAGTCTGTCAGAAAGATGGGAAAAAGTTGTAGCTAGCGATGGGCAATACTTTGAATGATTCATTTGTAACCATTTTTTCACAATAAAGTTGCATTTTCATCAAAAAAGCAGCGAGAATTTAGTTGCGCACCTAATATATGTGGAATAATTATATTTTCCGCGAATATCCTCCGATGCCCGCTCGATGATGCCAGGGACGCGTTAATTGTCTTAGCGACAAGCAGTGTGTTTTGACAACAGTTCGGCGGCTGTTATAATTTTAAATCTAACGGTAAGACGAGGTCAGGAGCGCGAGAATCGAATAAGTCAGTCGAGACAAAGACTCCGACCGAGTAAAGTTGCGAAGAAATTGAAGGTGTTGTGAGTAGTTGTTAAAGGCGCGATAATTACTGTTCATTAATTATAATATTAATTGATCCGTTTTTCTTTATAAATATATATATATATATATATACATATTCATTTGTTTAATTAAAAGTCTCGAGTGATTCGATTGTTACCTCTCCAAAAAATTATTAAAAACGGCTCATGCCGATAAAGAAGTCGACATATATTTAATATAATATTTCTAAAGACGTAAGTATCTTGAGAAAGTTATTCTCCAATTATTTTAAATAATTAAATATTTTTAGCTGCAATAATTTTTGTGCGAAAAAATTTATTTGATATGCGACTGAAAAAATAAATACGAAGGTGGAATAGCGTAATGCTTTGTATATAACTGTGGAACACGCAATCTTCAAAATCTCATCTTTTATAATGGAATCTCGCTGCATCTAGTTTTATTTGATCCATACTATCGTTTAGAAAAAAAATTTTACCTCCAATTAAACAATTTCTACGACAAAATAATATTTTATTTGATAACACATTTTATACAAGAAAATTTTTTATCAGTCTCGCAGTGTTAATCATATATGCACATAGAAATATTTTTTTTTATTAAAGAATGTTTTTGTTTTTAGGATTGTTACTTCTTCTTAAAAATAATATTTTTCAATAAAAATAAAAATGAGATAAATACTAATCTTTCGCTTGTTTTCTGAAGATAAGAAAATTTTGCGATCGTACGATGCATAGTTTTTGTCTTACTTATAATACAGTAGCATGTCACCATTATAATTTGTTTGCCATAAAACCAAAAGTATTGTTGATTGCTGTTCGCGAGTGAGCGCGGATCGCTGCGACAGCGCAGAGTTTAAAGAATGCAGCAAACGGACGACCACAAACGGATTATTTAATGCAAAAAAACTTAACACGACACGTAATTTTTTGTGATTTTTTTTGAGTTTTTATTTTGACACTAGTAGGATATATAGGAGAGTTCTAACTCAGGTCCTCTCAGGGGGGGTGAAGCGCGCGGGGATTACGGAGGCGCAGGGGAATGACGTCACGCGGGACGGAGGGAATTTCGGCGGCGGCGTGTTAGATGTTTTATCGCAATATTATATTACATGCCCGGCTGATAAACAGTACTGCGTACAAACATGTTCGGTTTATAAATAATATAAACATCAGCATTTCTTTGAATTGAGATTATGATCGTATAATAGAGATGTGGCATTATCGCCATATCGTCGTAAACGCCTCGTAAATAGTACGGTCCCATATATTTATCGAAAGTATAAGCAATATTGTGTTGCATGCCCGGTTGATAAACAATATAAACAAATAGTACCTCAGACTCGTCTTTCACGATTTTTTCTCGGAAGAATTTTTAACGTATCAGCGCCGATGTTTGGCTGCTTTGTACCCTTGCTTCCACCGCTCGTATATCAACGTTTTCGCGGTACATCCCTCACCCCGATATAAGTAATTCTAGATTTTTTTCCGTTCGACATATCCTTATCTCTCTCTCATTGAATTACACAGCACGTGAATTTATAAACAATATAAACAAACGGCACCTCCCAGAATCGTCTTTCACGATTTTTTCTCGGAAGAATTTTTAACGTATCAGCGCCGATGTTTGGCCGCTTTGTACCCTTGCTTCCACCGCTCGTATATCAACGCTTTCGCGGTACACTCCTACCCCCGATATAAGTAATTCTAGATTTTTTTCCGTTCGACGTATCCTTATCTCCTCATTGAATTACACAGCACATAAATTTATAAACAATATAAACAAACGGCACCTCCTAGTATCGTCTTTCATGATTTTTTATCGGAAGAATTTTTAAAGTATCAGCGCCGATGTTTGGCTGCTTTGTTTTCTCCTTCATATAAAAGGATTGAAGCGCATCAAATCATCATAGTGTGTGATATGAACGCCCATCGACGCGTTGGCAGTAAAAAAAAAATATAGCGGTGTCCCGTTAGAAAGATTTTTGCGCGATTTCACGTTCAAGATAGCGAACGGTATTGTTTATCGTGTGCAAAAGTCATCCGTAGAAACTATGACGTAGTGTTTTAAAAGTGTGAGTGTGAAAAAGACAGGAAAATGGAAAACATCGAGCAGACCGAACGCGATCTGGTGGAGGGATCTCGCCGAATTGCCACCTTGGGCGAGTATTTCGCGTGGCTGCAGCGTTATGAGGAATTGATCAAAGAGCTCGAAGAACGCAGTCGTCTCAAGCGTCCGCGGCTCTCGATCGGAAGTAGACAATCTCTGGTGGCTAAAATAGCGTGACTCGAAGATGCAAAGACTCGATTGTAGAGACGGTTTATTCCCAGTGGTGGTGATTACAGCGGTGACAATAACGCGGAAAGACTCGTTTGGCGAGAGATCGATACCGCGTTCGACAGCCGTATTCTGACCGGTGCCGTGATTAACGCAAACTATATCGAACCTCGTCAATTTCTCGAGGATGTCGAAGACATCGTGCTCGAGCAAGTGCAAGACGTTCTAAAAAGACACAACAGTGTAAAAGTAAATACTGTATTCAACGGTGAATTTGTGTCGAGTGATAAGCGCGCGAATAAAAGTATAAATACGAGAAACTGTGAACTCTTTCGCACATCGGATTTACACTTGTGGTTCGAGAGCCTTATATATATTCGCGTTATCGAGCCCACTTTAGCGTCTCTGGAAGAGTTTCAGGAACGCGATAGTGGCTGGGCATTGTCGCGAATACAGAATTTGACTGTTAATGTAAATAAATATAATCCAATGCGCGCGGGATGCCACATTAAATTGTCGCGGGAGATTATGATGAAAAGAGCGGTGGTTAACGTACAATCTAAAGACAATGCGTGTTTCACGTGGGCAGTGGTCGCCGCTCTATATCCCGCAGAAAGGAACGCGGAACGAGAATCATCGTACCCGCATTACGCGATAGTGCTGAATCTCCGGGATATTGAATTTCCAGTAACTTTAAATCAAATTAAAAAGTTTGAACTCGCAAACAGTATCTCGATCAACGTGTACGGCACGAAGACAAGAACAGTATCGTCTCGATACGTCTTTCGGAGCAGAAGCGAAATAAGCATGTGATCTGCTATACGTGGAAGACGGCAACGGCGTCGGACATTTCGCGTGGATAAAAAATTTATCCAGGCTCGTGAGCTCGCAACTGAGCAAACACAACGGTCAAAGATATATCTGCGATCGGTATGTATATATTAATATATAATAATTATATCAAATAATTTATATAAAAATTGTTCTATTTTTAATTAAAAAATTTTTCTTTTACAGATGCCTGCATTATTTTAGTTCAGACGTCAAGTTACATGCCGTCGACTGCGCTATCCGGTTGCCGAGCGATAAGGACAAGTGGCTCGAGTTCAACAATTACAACAGGAAAGAACGGCTTCCATTTGTCGTGTACGCCGATCTGGAATGGGTTCTGGCCAAAACCGAGGAAGAACAACAAAAATTGTACCAACATCATCAAGTATTTAGCATAGCTTACTATGTACATTGTTCGTACGACGAATCTTTATCGGCGTATCATTCGCGTCGTAGCGCCGATTGTACAGCATGATTCGTCGAAGATCTTAAAAATTTAGCGATTCGCGTTAAGAATATTTTAACGACAAATGTCCCTATGATAAATTTGACATCGGAAGAGTGTGAAAAATTTTACAACGCCACTCAATGTCATATATGCGAAAAACCGTTCGCGGAAGACGATACACGCGTTCGCAATCATTGTCATTTGACCGGGCGGTACAGAGGTCCCGCGCATTCAAATTGTAATTTAAATTACAAAGAATCTTTTTGTATTCCGATAGTTTTCCACAATTTATCCGGTTACGATTCGCACTTTATTATCGAGGAAATAGCCACAGCATCCGAAGGGAAAGTCGAGTTAATTCCGATAACGAAAGAGAAATATATTTCTTTTACAAAAAATGTCGACCTTAAGGAAGGCGATTGGAAAAATCATGTAAAATTACGCTTCATCGATTCGTACAAATTTCTTACATCGAGTCTCGACAAATTGGCATCTTATTTAGACAAAGATAAGCTCAAAATTTTAAAATCAAAATTTGAAAATTTATCCGCGGAAAATTTCAGTTTATTAACACGGAAAGGCGTCTTTCCGTACGAATACGTCGACTCGGTAGATAGGTTGCGAGATACGCGTTTACCACTGCGCGAATCGTTTTACAGTTCCTTGACCGGTGAAACTATATCCGAGGCGATTACGCGCACGCCGAGAACATCTGGACGCGATTCTCCATTCGAACGCTGGGCGAATATAGCGACATGTATCTCAAAATCGACGTTTTGTTATTAGCAGATATTTT